ATTAAAATTGATCTCCAGCTATCCCGTTCAAAATTTTCGGTCCATAGCCTAACTTTGTACGTACATTCAATTGGGTCCTAAATGAATTATAACTCTTCAACTGATATCATTTTAGTCCTTAAATAATTTATAGTATTTTGATTTACCTTTTAATTTTGGTTAAAAATAAATTAAAAGACTTAGAATTTTTTGGGGTTTTACATGTTACATGATCTAGTACATTGAGGTGAAGAATCTTTGGATAAAATTTTATAATGTGGTTTCATGAATTACTCCTAAAATTGTATACCAAGATTAAAAAGAGCGACGAAGGTACCGATTTCCAATATGAATGTAATAAACTCATGTTTTATTGAAATAAAAAATCACAGACTTCATTGACATCCGGAAACAAAATATTTTTTGGTTGGTTTATTCTTCAAGTTGCAGACAGGGAAAGAAAATTGTATTTCTGCGGAATGGACTCTTCGATTTAGAGGTTGGATCCGATCGATCTGTAATCAATTTGATGTTAATAAGAGATGTAGAAATTTTGGTGATATTTATGGAAATCTAATTTATTTAGAAAATATGCAAAATATACAGCATTTTTGGAATGAAAAAAGTTGATCAGTATTTTTGAAATACTTTTTTTTTTCTTGGCCTATTTGTGTAATATCCCTACCATGCTCCTAGGTTAAACATATGAATGCAATAATAAATAGAATATTACATTGGCTCTGTTTAATCCCTATTTTTTAAAAATAAATTTTATAATAGTGATTTCTTTGAAAAATGCGTGATAAAAAGTAGGAAAAATTTTTGAAAATTAAAAAATTATAGTTTGTTCGATAATCAATAATCTAATGATATATTCATTAAAAACTTAACTATTGTCAAATTTTGAGAAAAATTGTTCAAGACTCTCTAGATCTTTTAGCACCAACTCGAGGATGTTGGCACATAGAGGGGATTACAACGGGTAAGGTTCGTGAAAGATTCTCAAGTTTTCGATAATAGTTAGCTCATGTTCAGTCTAGATAAAAATCAAAATTTAGTAGATATTTGATAAAACTGTTGAAATATGTGATTGAAAAATTGATAGAAGTTATAAATCTTCTATATATTAAAAGTGGTTATGTAACGGAATTTCTTGTTTTTAACGGAAAAATTAACGGAATTTGTTGTTTTAACGGACTATGTAACGGAATTTCTTGTTTTAAACAGGCAGCTGCACCTTCTTTCAGTGTTTTTATCATAACTTTGTATTCCGATATCCGATTGAGGC